TAAATCTCCCTCTCATAATCTCTCCCTCCATGTCCTTCCTCTCTCTCTCTCTCCCTTTCCCCTCCCCCCTCCCTCATCTTCTCGGTCTTCATCTCTCTCTCTCTCCTCTCTCTTCTCACCCCCCCCCCCCCCCCTCTCACTCTCTATATATCGCTCTCCTCTCTGTGTCAATGTATGTGGTTATGCTCTCTCTCTCTCTCGCTCTCTCTTCCCTTCTCTCTCTCTCTCTCTCGCTCTGGTTGTATTCTCTCTCTCTCTCTCTCTCTCACTCCCCCCCGATCTCTCTCTCTCCTCGTTCCTCTTCTTCTCCTTCTGTTTTTTTTATCGTGCCTCTCTCTCTCTCTATTCACTCATCTCTCTCTCCCTCTCTCTCTCTGCTCGCTCTCATCTCTCTCTCTCTCTCGCTTTTTTTCTCTCTCTATCTCTCTCTCTCTCCCTCTCTCTTGCTCTCTTTCCCTCCGCTCTCTGCATCTCACTCTCTCTCTCTCTCTCGCTCTTTCTCTCTCTATTTCCCTCTCGCTTTCTGTTCCTCTCTCCTCTTCCCTCTCTCTATCTCTCACTCTCTCTTTATCTTAATATATATATATATATGTATGTAAATATATAAAGTATGTACAGATATGCATATATATATACATATGAAAATTTATATATACATATATGTATATCTCTCTCTCTCTCTCCCGTTCTCTCTCTGTCACTCTCTCTCTCTCTCTCGCTTTCAATGTTTCTCTCTCCCTCTCTCCCCCTCCTGCGTGTTCTCTCTCTCTCTCTCTCTCTCGTTGTTTCATCCTCTCTCTCTCTCTCTCTAGTCTCGGTCTCTCTCCTCTCTCTCTCTCCTCCTCTCTCTCCCTCCCTCCTCCTCTCTCCCTTTCTCTCGTTTCTCTCTCTCTCTCTCTCTCCTCTCTCTCTCTCTCTCTCTCCCTCCCCCCCCCCCCCCCCCCCTCCCTCATCTCTCCCTCTCTCCGTTCTCCCTCTCCCCCTCCCTCTCTTTTTCTCCCTGTCTCCTCTGGTGTCCGTGTCTCTCTCCTCTCTCTCTCCCACTCCGCTCGCTCTCTGTTTCTCTCTTTTTTGTTCTCTCTCTCTCTCTCTCTCTTTCTCTCTCTTCTCTCTCCTCTTCTCTCTCTCTCTCTCTCTCTCTCACTATCTTTTTCCTTTTTCTCTCCCTCCCCCTCTCTCTCGCCCGTCGTCTCTCTCTCTCTTCTCCCCTCTCTCTCTCTCTTTCTCTCTCTCTTCTCTTTCTCTTTCTCTCGTTCCACCTCTCTCCCTCTCTCTCTCTATAGTTGTCGTTCTCTCTCTCTCTCTATCTCTCCCTCTCTCTCTCTCACTCTGTGTTTGATGTGTTTTTGTTTTCTCTCTCTCTCTCTCTCTCTCTCTCCGTCTTCCTCTCTCTCTCTCTCTGTCACCCCTCTGTATCCTCTCTCTCTTTCTCTCCCTCTCTCTCTCTCTCTTTTTTTTTTTCTCTCTCTCTCTCTCTCTCTCCCTCTCTCTCCCTCTCTATTTTTTTTTTTGTTTTTTCTCTCTCTCTCTCTCTCCCTCTCTCTCTTCTATCGCTCCTTAATCGTGTTTCGCTCGCTCTCTCTCTCTATCTCGCTCTCTCTCTCTCTCTCGCTCTCTCCCCCCCCCCCCCCCCCATGTGCGTTTTGAGTACCTCCCTCGCTCTCTCGCTCTCGCCCCCTATCTCTATATATATGCCCTCTCTCTCTCTATCACCCGTTCGTGTTTCATGTTCTCTCTCTCTCTCTCTCTTTGTTTCTTCCTCTCTCTCTCTCTCTCTCTCCCTCACTCTCCTTAGTCCAGTCCATGTATATATACCTATGTATATATGTGTTTGGTGTGTTCCCCCCTCCCTCCCTTGATCCTCTATCTCTCGCTCTCTCTCTCTCTCTCGTTATTTCTCTCGCTCTCTCTTTCTCTCCATGGTTCTCGCTCTCTCCCTCTCTCTCTCTCTCCTTTTGTTTTGGTATAGCTGTTTCGCTCGCTCTCTCTCTCTCTCTCTCGCTCTCTCTCTCTGTTTCTATACACCTCTCCACTCTCACTCTCGCCCTCTCCCTCATGTTTCTCTCTCTCTCTCTCTCTCTCGTTCTTTCTCCCTCTCTCTCTCGGCCTCTCCTCTGTATCTCTCCCCCCCCTCTCTCTCCCTCTCTCCTGTTGTTTCTCGGTCTATCTCTCTCTCTCTCTCTATCTCTCCCTCTTGCTTTCTCGTTCTCTCACTATATCTCTGTCGTTCTCTCTCTCTCTCTCTCTCTCCCCGCCCCTTCCCCCTCCCTCCTCCATTTCTCCGTTGCTCTCTCTATGTCTATCGCTCTCTCTCTCTCTCTCTCTCTATCTCCCCCTCTCCTTTTCCCATATCTGCTTTATAATTCTATATATCTCTATATATACATATATATGCATACACATGTCTATGTATCTATATATAAAATATGTATAGGTGTCCCTCCCTCTCCCTCTCTTTCTCTCTCTGTCGTTATATCTCGCGTTATCTCTTTATTTGTTCTCTCTCTCTCTCTCTTGGCTGTTCTCTCTACATATATCCTTAGGTTGTCTCGCTCTCTCTCTCTCTCTCTATGTATCTATGTGTATATGTATAAATATAGATCGGCCGCTTTCTCTCTCTCTCTCTCTCTCTATATATATAGATGTCCCTCTTTCTTTCTTTGTTGTTTCTATCTCTCTCTCATCTCTCCCTCTCTCATCTCTCTCTCTCTCGCACTCCATCCCAGGCTCTATGTACGGGTGTCCTCTCTCTATATCCCTCTCTCTCTCTCTCACTCGCTCTCTCTCTCTCTCTCTTCTCTCTCTCTCTCTCTCTCCCTTTGTCTCTCCCTCCTTCTCTCCCTCTCTCTTTGTTCTATCTCTCTATCTCTCTCTTTCTCTCTCTTTCTCTCGACTGCGGCGAGAACGATGACACGACGACGACACCATGCGGGCGGGCGAGCACGCGGGCGGCGCTCGTCTTCGTCTTCGTCAGCGTCGTCGGCGTCGTCGTAGTGGTCGTCGTTGCTGCCGTCGTGGGCGAGCTGGTCGGGCGGGCTGGCGGGGCGCGTCGACGCCGCGTGCCCGCGCCAAAGACTGGGGTGGGTGAACATCATCCCCCTTGCGCGCTGGGGGGGGGGGCAAGTAGGTCCGCTGAACTTTTTGCGAATCCAAAGGTCGCCAGGCCAGGCGGGAACCTCGCACGAGCCAGCCTGAGGTAGACTCCTGAAGTAATTCTTGGCATTGGCCTTCTTCTCCCAGGGGAGATCTACAACACCATATGTGTGCCGCCCGCATTTGTTCAAGCACCATGCGCTATCGCGCGACGTTTACAACGTGTGACCTGGCGAACGACCAACCGCACGAATGCACATGGTTTGAACCCATGAAGATTGTGATGGTGGGGGCAATGGTGCGGCGATGGAATGGTGGCAATGCGGGTCGCCACAACCTTCCCTGTACATGATGTGAAGGATGGTCCAATCCACCGTGTGTTCCGTCTTTCCCGTCTTTATCATATCCCCAGCACTTGTCATCATATTGTTTTCTGAGCAGTCGCCTCCTCATCCTCTCTCCCTACCATCGCTCAGCACCATCAAAACCATCAGAACCAAGCATTCGCCATCCTCCACGCTCCTATCTCAATCTGCATCCTCCCTCTGTCACTCCCCATCCCCATCCTACCACCTCTGATCATAATCCTCATCACCGCCATCGCCACCATGACGTCATCCATCGTCATCATCCCCAGCAGCGTACCCATCACCATACCATCACCATAATTAACAGCATCGCCACACACGCCCACACCGCATGACAACCATAACTACCATCATGGCCGCCTGTTGGACCCTCAACATCAACAACCTAATTCTCCCGATGATATCCTCAACCTCTCCCCGCAAAACTCCCTTCCGCCCTCCAGCACAACTGTGCCTCCTTCTGCTCGGACAATCCTACCTACACGTGGGTGGCCATGCAAAATTCAATTCAAGACTCCACCGTCTCAGCTACTCATGCACCAGTTCTGCGGCCGTTGCAGTAGCACGTTTGCTGCAATACTTCGCAGCTGTACACATCGTATTACTACACATCTGGCCCAAAGAGACATAAACAACAGAGTTGCAAAGGTTTGGAATCGTGTTGAACTCCCGCCTTTTCGTGTTCGATCCTCCACCAACGCGGCAAAACGGACCAGGAAGGCCCCCAGATCGCCCCAACACGGCTCAAGGGGTCCCCACGAGGGCCTCAAAGAGGACCCCCAGACGGCCCAAGGGGGCCTAAGACGCCCCCAAGACGGCCCAAGAGGGCCCCAAGAGTGCGAGCAAGAACTGGCATGTCAAGCCCTCCGCCCGAAGATAACCCCCGAGACCGCCAGCAGGCTCCAAAAAAGCCCCTCAAAGGCCCCTCCTCCTTTACCTCCCCCCTCCTCCTCCTCCTCCTCCTCCTCCTCCTCCTCCTCCTCCTCCTCCTCCTCCTCCTCTCCTCCTCTCCTCTCTCCCTCCTCTCCTCCTCTCCTCCTCTCCTCCTCCCTCCTCCCTCCTCTCCTCCTCTTCCTCCTCCCCCTCCTCCCCCCTCCTCCTCTCCTCTTCCTATTCCTCCTCCTCTTCCTCTTCCTCCTCCGCCCTCCTCCTAATTACCTCCCCCCTGTCCCTCATCTCCTCCTCATCCTCCCTCCTCCTCTTCCCCCTCCTCCCCTCTCCTCCTCCTCCTCCTCCTCCTCTCCGCCTCCCCTCCGCCTCCGCCTCCGCCTCCGCCTCCGCCTCCTCCTTTTCCTCCCTCCTCCTTTTCCTCCTTTTCCTCCTCCTCCTCTCTCCGCCTCCTCCTCCCTCCTCCTCCTCCTCCTCCTCCTCCTCCTCCTCTCTCCTCTCCCCTCCCCCCCGCATTTTTCACGTCCCTCCTCGATCCTCCCTCCTCCGCGTTCCTCCTCGCTCCTCGTTTCTACCTCTTCCCTCCTCCTCGCTCCTCCGCGGTCCCTCACCCCCCTCCTCCTCCCTCCCCGCATCCTCCTCCCCCCCCTCCTGCCCCCCGAGACAGAGCTTCGCATGACCATCCCCGCGGCCCGGGCACCGCCCGCCCCTCCCGGGCAGCCAGATGCCGCAGGGCAAGGCGGCCAGCGCGCGCGCGCGCCTTCGCGGCGTCAGTCTCCTCGGCAAGGCGGGTGGCAGCGCGAACTCGGCCGGGAGCGGCCGTCGCAGGGCTTCCCTCTCGGCCTGGGTCAGGGGCTGCGGCCCGCAGACAGGAGCGGATGATGTGAGCGACGATCCAGTACGGGCCTTACGCGAGAGGGCACAGCGACCGTGCGCGGTGGCTCACGCGGGCCGCCCGCGCGGCACGCCACACTGGAGGCGAGGGCGCCTGCACGCGACCGTACGCGGGCAGCTCACGCGCCCACGTCGGTGGATACGACCGACCCCGTTTCTTGGCGTCGCTCATGTGTTCGTCCCGTCTCTGGCTGCCTGAATCTCCCCCCGCGGCTCGCGGCAGCCAGGCCGAGAGGCGGCCCCCCCAGGGCCGTGGCAGGGCAGCTGGCGCTCGGGAGCGCGTCGGTGGCGGCGCTCGTGGCCGCCGCCGCCGCCGCCGCCGACGACCACGAGGGTTGACGGCTCGGGGAGGTCGCGGGCCACCTCGCCCCTCCCGCGGGCCGCGCGGCTCTGGGGGGGACGCTCCTGGCGCCCAAGGCCTGCCTCCCGGTGCGCCGCCGCCGCCCGGCGATGCACCGGCGAGGGTCGGCGATGCAGCGGCGACGTCCGCGTGGCGAAGATCGGGCTCCACAGCTAGCCGCATCGCCGATGCATCGGCGGTCGGGCGCGATCCACCAGGGGAGAAGGGAGGAGGGGGAGGGGGGCATTCGTTGGCTCTTGGAGGTGTCCTCGCCTCGGGATGCATTCCGGCAGCTGCGCCTCGTCGAGAGCTTTCGGGGGGTGCGCGGGTCGTCCCGAACGGCCGCTGGAGGCCCGAGTTATGACCCGAAAGTCACCAGGCATCGAAGAAGGGGAAAAGAGAAATTGGAGGATCCACGGCCTAGCGTCTCCACAGGCCAGCCAGGGGATCCACGCCCTAGCGAGGAAAGGAGGTGGAGGATAGGGGAACAAAAAGTGGCATAAACATAAAAACTCGGAGGTCCGCGCGGATCTCTCGGATCGGCGCTGGGCCCCCCCGGCGGCGCCTCTGGCGCCGTCCCTGGCGCGCTCCGCGCGCCACGGAGGGGGGACCAGCGCCAGTCTGAGAAATCCGCGCGGACCTCCGAGCTTTTACGCTTACGTCGCTTTTTGCTCCCCTAGAGGAGGAGCAGAGAGTCAAATGAAAAAAACAGGAGGGGTGGAGGAGGGAAGAAATGAAGGGGCCCTGGGACACACAAATAAATACACACGAATATGAGGATTCCCCATTTCTTCTTGTATTTTCTGGGTTTCTGTCTTCCCCCCCACTTCCCATATTTTTCCATTTTTTCTGGGGAATCGACGATTCATTGTGTCTGTGTTTTTTCCCTCCTGAAAAACAGGAGGGGTGGAGGAGGGAAGAAAATCGGATCGGACGGCCTCGGCCTCGGCCTCGCGCGTGCCGGCCGGCGGCGGAGACACTGCAAACACACATACAGCCGCGGCTCACGCAAACACGCAGCCGAGCTCACGAGGTCTTGGGCAACGCGGAGGAGGAGGAGGAGGAGGAGGAGGAGGAGGAGGAGGAGGAGGAGCAGGAGGAAGAGAGGGAGCGCGAAGCGAGGAGGAGCAGGCGGAGAGAGGGAGGAGGGCTATGGCGACCGCGGCGGCGCCGGCGCCGGCAAACGACGGGCAACGGCGGCGGCCGGCTGGCGACGACGGCGGCCGACGGCGGACGGACGACGAGCGGCGGCGCCGCCAGCAGCCGACGGCGGCAGACGGCGGCGGCGGCCCGCTGGCGACCACGGCGGCCAGCGGCGGCGGCCGGCGACCACGGCGGCCAGCGGCGGCCGGCGGCGGCCACCGCTCCTGCCGCCGCGCCCGCGGCGGCGGGCCGCGCGCGGATGCGGCCGGCCTCCGGCGGGCGGCGCGCGCGCAGGCGGGCGGCGCGGTGGGGCCGGGAGGTGCGCTATAGGGCTGTGCCTCCCGCGGCCGAGGTGGGCGCGAGCACCCTGGCGGGCCCACGCTGCAGGGCGCGAGCGGGGCGGCACCCGGCGGCGGGAAGAAGGGGACAGAGACAGCAACGAGGGGGCCCAGGGACACACGAACGAGTAGGCACAAGTCCCGGGGTCCCCATGGTTCCCCGCAGTTTCGGGACCGTCGTCTTCCCCCCCCCACACGTCCCATACTCTCCCACGCTTCCTGGGGAGTCGACGATTCATTGTGTCTGTGCGTTTTTCCCTCCTGAATGAATGGAAGTAGATTGGGCTTCCGCCCGCCCCTGATGAGGGAGTAGGGAAAACCGTTCGGCCCCTGAAGTAGGCGGAGATCTGCCCAGGGGCGGCCGAAACCAGCGCCAGATTTTGTGTCCGAACGCGCCAGTGTGACTGCAACAAGCGGTTTCGGTCACAATTTCAGGCACGCTTCAATCACCGATTGTTGTTTTGGTCGCATGCCTTTCTGGCTGATAGAGGCTGGGCGCCATGAGAACAATATTTTCCGTGTTCGAATTGTTTCATCGTTCTGTCGCCATCCCGCCTCTGCCGCAAAACGAAATCACAACAAAAACAATCCACGAAATCGTAAAACACCGTTAGCTCTAGCCCTGCCACACTGGTCGCAGCGCCTGCAGGACCCCAGCGATAGGCGGCGAAGTATTGCGGAACACTTTGCAACCCACGATGGTGAGGGCGATTACGTATAGCATACTGTAGCATTATTTACGTACGTTGCACGTGATGCCCGCTGCATGGCGTTATGCTTTTTTTTCGTGTTCGCCCGCGCGCTTCGGCGTATGGCTCAGCGTAACGTAGCGTAGCTGCGGCCCAGTGACGTCATACAGCCAGACAGACATGCACCCTGCGGAAGAACCCATTTTCTCTACTCACGATTGCGCCCGTTCTCGGAAACGCCACCGAGACCTGGTTACGTCACGATTCGCGCCTGAGCCGTCCGAGAATCTTAAGCGTTCCTGGACGGCGCCGTCGCGAATCGTGACGTCACCAGCCCCTCCCCCCACGCCTTCGGCCAGCGGAAATACATAAATTTGCTCCAACGGGGCCGAATCCCACACGGCGTGGCGGGTGGGTGGCTGCGCTGGGATCGGTCAGCACTGAATCGGGAAATCGTAACGAATCGGAGTGTGCGTGGGATCGGGCCGCGTCGGCACGAAGTCGAAATCGATTCGGATCGGCTGCGCCAGCATGCACAACGGCGACGCATAAGCGCTGGGCCGCATCAGATCGCCGGCACGACGCGGCACTGCGCGGCGCCTCACACCAAAGGCCCAACGCGAAGCAGCGACACGGCACCGCACGGCTCCGCCACCGCACGGCACGTCGGCACGGAGGCGGGGGCCGCCGAGCAGCCACGATGCCCCGAAGCCACAAATCGGAACCCGTGCGCCCGCTGGGTCCTCCTGCCCCCAAATCCTACGAGTCTACGGGTCAAAGATCGGGTCGGGCGAAAGGGGCGGGATAGCAAAGGGGGGTTTGAGAATCAGCTCACGTAGCTGACTTTCCCGGCGCCTCCCGGCGCCAGAGGCGGCTATGCATCGAGGAATGGGCCCCTCGGTGAGGCCGAAATCAGCTGCATGCAGCAAATTTCGAACCCCCCCCTTTCCCAATCCCCCCCCTTTCGTCCGGCCCGAAAAAAAGACCCCTCACAGGGGAGACTCTCGCCCCCGCGGGGCCTCGCGAGAGGCGAGGCGCGCCCGGCGCCCGAGGGCCCGCCGCCCGAGGGGCCTCCGCCGCTCGCCCCCCCCCTCGCCGGCGGCCGCACGCGGAGCGGCGGCCGCACGCGGAGCCCCGGCCGCGGCGCGCCCCGGGGGGGGGGGGTCCGGGAAGAGGCCCCCGGGGCTCGGGGAGCGCTCGGGGCGTCGGAGAGCGAGGCCCGGGGCTCGGGGAGCGCTCGGGGCGTCGGAGGGTCAAGGCCTGTGGTGTTCGAGGGTCAAGGCCCCTTCGAGCTGGAGGCTCGAGGCTCGAGGCTCGAGGCTCGAGGAGCGCACGAGGTGTTTGGGATCGAGGGTCGAGATCTACGACCGAGCTGACCTCCTGCGCGCAGCCAGTGCCATTTGCGTCTGGGGCGGAGAACTGTATAAAGTACAGTGGAGGCCAGTCCGCCAGAAATCTCCCACAAGAAACCCAACCCTGAGACCCCAGGGCGTCCATGGGTTTTTGGCGTGGGTGGTCGTGTCTCGTCTTCGCTCGGACATCCATTCCTCTTGCGTTCTTCGATTTCGTGCGCTTATCTGTTAGCACGATGAGCCGAGATGCTGCTTGATGGTCCGCGCCGAGAACAAACGAACACGTCCGAGCGATGCCAAGGTGCTGGCGGCCGCAATCGCGAGCGTCGCCGTTGTCGTATTCCTTCCTGTTTGTCGTCGTCGCCATTGTGGTCCTCGTGGTCCTGGTCGGGGTCGTAGCACACATTCGAGTCGTGTTCGTCGTCCTCGTGTCTGTCGTTGTCGTCGGATTCGTCGGCATCCTCGTTCTCCCCCTCCTCCTCCTCGTCCTCCCCCCTCCCCGTCGCTATTTCAAAGAAGAGGGAATCATATACATTGTATAAATATATACATATGTATATATACACAGAACTCATTTCCGTAGCGCTCACCTCTATAGTGCTCACATTCAAATCGAAGTCCAGAAGGGGCCGCACATGCAGGCACATGCCGCTCAGTCGAATGCACATGCCCATGAAACTCCACAAAAGCCTCAACAGCACTGTCGCACATGCGCGCACATGCTGCACAGTCCGATGCAGAGTCGGGCAAAACTCTGAAAACATGAAACGCACACGCGCGCACATGCCGCAGATTCGAAACATCGGAGGAGGAGGGAGGGACAAATGAGCAGGAAAGAGGAATGAGGGGAGAAGCGAGGGGAACGAAGGAAGCTAATGCGGCTGGCACTCAAACTGAAACACCATACCCGCATAAGGGATGTGGCATGATATAACACCAATCCAACACAAGGATGGGGTCAGCGCTCCAGTAATGTAGATCACGCGAGGACGTCTCAGGCGAAAAGGGCCTGACCACCTGAGCGCAAGGCATCTCGGAACCGAGAGTTGTGAGGATGTCTCAGGCGACAGTGGCTCGACCATCGTAGGGCAGGGCATCTCGGAGGTCAGAGTTGCGGGGATGCCGCAGGCGAAAGTGGATGGATCACCTGAGCTCAGGGCATCTCCGAGGCCAGAGTTGCGGAGTTGTCTCAGGCGACAATGGCCTTACCACCTCAGCGCAGGGCATCTCGGAACCCTGAGGTGCGAGGAGATCTCGGGCGAAGGTGCGCAAGGCTTCACCGAGGTCCGAGTTGTGGGGATGTCTCAGGAGATAGTGGCCTGACCACCTCAGCTCAGAGCATATCCGATGCCAGAATTGCGAGGGCGTCTCTGGCGAGAGTGGCCTGCCCACCTCCTCAGGGCATCTCGGAACCGTTGCCAGGATGTCTCAGGCGAAAGTGGCTTGACCATCATGAGGCAGAGCATCTCCGAGGTCAGAATTGCGGGGATGTCGCAGGCGACATGGGCTTCTCGGAACCCAGAGTTGCGGGGATGTCTCTGGCGAAAATGTCCTGACTACGTCAGCGCAGGGCATCTCGGAAACCAGAGCTGCGAGGATGTCGCATGCGAAACTGGCCAAACGACCATGTGGCAGGGCATCTCTGGTCACACAGAGTTGCGAGGATGTTTAAGGTGAATATGACCTGACCACCTGAGTTCAGGAAATCCCAGTCCATCATGGGGCAGGGCATCTCCGAGGTCAGCGTTGCGGGGATGCCGCATGCGAAAATGGATGGACCACCTGAGCTCAAGGCATCTCGGAATCCTGCTCACCCGACCATTACCTGGCGGGCCCCCGCTTTGTTGCACGTTCCGCACATGCCCCGCACAGCCACGCACAGCATATACACAGGCCGGACCAGGCAAGCGACAACCCTAAAAAAGGACACCAAGCTCGCATTCAACATAAACATGAGACATCTCGTGAGACAGCGAGGCGTCCCATGGGATAGCACGCCCCCGGAAAACTCTCGGCGCCTCCTTCGGCACAGCCCTCACGCAGATCGAGGCCTGCAAGGACTGTTGGCACCTCGTGTGGGGGGCATATCCGAGGTCAGCATTGCGAGGATGTTTCAGGCGACAGTGGCCTTACCATTTGGGCTCAAGGAATTTCAGAACCCAGAGTTGCGCGGATGTCTCAGGCGAAAGCGGCTGGATCACCATAGGGCAGGGCATCTCCGAGGTAAGACTTGCGAGGATGTCTCTGGCGAAAGTGGCCTGCCCACCGCAGGTCAGGGCATATCCGACGTCAGAGTTGCGAGGATGTCTCTGGCGAGGGTGGCCTGACCACCTGCGCAGGGCATCTCGGAAACCAGAGCTGCGAGGATGTCTCAGGCGAAAGCGGATGAACAACAGGGCATCTCTGAACCCAGGGTTGCGAGGATATGGCGACAGTGGCCTGACAACCTCAGCGCAGGGCATCTCTGAGGCTGGAATTGCGCGGATGTCTCTGGCGAAAGTGACCTGACCACATGCTCAGGGCATCTCGGGAACCAGAGTTCAGACCGCACTGCCAACGTGGGCTGACCACCGCAGGTCAGACCATCTTGCAATCCAGAGTTGCGAGGATGCCTCAGGCGAAGGTGGATGAACCAACTGAGCTCAGGGCATCTCTGAGCCAGAGTTGCGAGGATGTCTCAGGCGACATTGGCCTGACCACCTCAGCGCAAGGCATCTCGAACCCAGAGTTGCGAGGATGCTTCACGTGAAAATAACCAGACCACCATGTGACACGGCATCTCAGAGGTCAGCGTTGCGAGAGTGCCTCAAGCCAAAGTGGCCTCACCACAATAGGGCACGGCATCTCCGAGGCCAGAGCCTCATTGCCGCGGAAACTTGTGGGCCCCCCCCCCAGGCCCCGAAGGTCACGAAGCGCCGAAGGCCCTTGTAGTAGGGAGCCCTGAAAATTCCGAGAACGCATGTGCGTGCATGTGAATCGGCATGTGCGAGCATGTGCGGGCGCGGGATTCAGCGCATGTGCGTGCAGGGGGGGGACCCAGCCGAGTGCGTGCACGTGCCACTGACCGATCTGCGAGCTCCGCACATGTTCCGCATGTGCGGGCATGTGCGTGCATTTGCGTGCATGTGCATCGGCATGTGCGAGCATGTGCAGGCGCGGGGTTCAGCGCATGTGCGTGTATGTGCCATTGAACGATCTGCGATGTTCGCACAAGTTCCGCATGTGCGGGCATGTGCGGGCATGTGCGTCGGCATGCGCGGGCATGTGCGTTAAAATGCATGCAGCCAAACCGAGTGCACATAACACCGCACGTGCCCAAGCACGTGCGCAACGTAGGACATTCATCCAAAAGCGCCCGCACATGCCGGGCACATGCCTGGCACATGCTGCGCAGATGCACGCACATGCCCGCGCAAAAACGGCCGCACATACGCCCACCCAGGGGTACAGAAATGAGTGCGGTGTATATGTTGAATCGCGCTTCGACGTTTAGTTGGTCTTGGCGGTTTGTGAACGGTTTGTAGTGAAACTGTCGGGACGTATCCCGTCTCACCCCTACTACTCGCACTCCTTCCCCGTCCAACGTTTCCCAGTCCTCCTTTTGCAACCATCCCTCGCCCCTCGTCCTGTATCCCCAGCACCTTCTCCCCTCCTCCCTCCCTCTTCCGCCATTATCCTCCATCGTCGTATCTTCCTACTCTCCCGTATCCTCGCCTCCATCTCCTTCTGCTAGTCCTCGTCCTTGCGTTCTCGTTTCGTACCATCCTCTGCCCACGCCCTCGTCCGTCTCCATCTCGACATCCACCTCAACCTCCGCATCCTTCTGTTGTATCATCTGCCTAGCCCCCCTCATCCTTCCGCCCTCCCTGTCTTCCTACCCCTGGTCCATTCTCATGCCGCATGGACCCAAGCGATGCGAGGACACTTGCACAAGCAGAGGCGCTGTTGCAACTAAAGAGGAGAAGGATAATGAGGAGAGAGAGAGAGAGAGAGAGACGAACGGGAGAGAGGAGGCGGCAAAAGGGGGGCAGGGAGGGACACAAAGAACGAAGGGACCTCACGAGACAGAGAGAAGATAGTAAAAGCAGCGGCCAAGGGTGGGGAGGGCGCGGTAGGTAAGGGGAGGGAGGGGGCACAGAACAACAGACTCATAAGGAAGAGAGATGGAAACAAGAGGAAGGGAGCAGCGACGTGAGAAGAGGGGAAGGGGGCACGAGAGGGAACGCGGGGAAGAAAACATGATAGCGGGGGTGCAAAATCATGCAAAGGGAAGTAGAAGGCAGGAAGGCGGAAGGAATGAAGCAACGGCGAGAAGGGAAGGGGAGGGATGGAACCAGGCGTGCTCGATACCAGGGGAGCAGGGTAGAGCAGGTGGGCGCTGCAAGAGATCGGGGCAAGCGGACGAGAACTGCATGGCAGCAGAAAAAGGAGCCAACATGAACGACGATAAGAAACGTTCCTCACTAACGCAGGGACCTTTCGCGGTGGCCGCTCGCACGGTACGCCGCATTTGAAACGAGGGCGCCTACGCGCGACCTTACGCGGACAGCTTGAACAACGCTGCCCGTGCACATCGATAAAAAATGGGTGTGGACGCCCGAAATGGGTACCGGCGAAATGGGAGCGATGCCCAACAGCAGATGTTGTCCAAAGCCGACAGCGGTGGGCAGGCGGCCTTCTGTGTCAAATGGACCGCGTCTACGGCGACACCGACGTCGAGTCCTGTTCAAAATGATAACGAACTGCTGCCGATCTTTGTGCCCATTCTTTCCGTACCCGTTTCGATCGTACCGGAAGAAAGGTCGTGTGTTGCTAGGAATGCCCTTGGCCCAAGGTGCCCCCAGGATTTCCGAGGATGCATCCACGGCCTCCAGCGCACCCCTCACGAGGCCCGAAGGGCTGCAGGGGCTCCAACACTGAGCGATAAACTGGGGGCACCTTGGGTCAAAGGAACCTTCCCAGATCCCCGACGTCAGTAGTTGTTCATAACGTCGCCCCCCAGAGGTCTCGACCAATTCCCCAGGACAACGGTTCCATCCAGAACCGCTTTTTGACGGTCACGGGACCCGGCGATCGCCCCCAGAGAGCAAAAACAGCGAGAAACCTTCTAGGGGGGTACCGCTGATGATCGTGGGGGAGATGAGGACCCCTGATGCTGGGGATGATGGGGGGACGGGCGAGTTGGGGAGGGACGAATCCAATTGCCAACCGAGTGGTTGGGGGGGCATCACTGAAGACCCTCATGGGTTACCTTTAGCAGCCCGCGGCACGGGAAGCAGAGGGGAACGGAACCGGAACCGAGAGGTTGGGGGGAGCATCGTGAAAGACCCGTCTGGATTACCTCTCGCAGCCCCCGACACGGGAAACGGAGGGGAGAAATCGGTGACGCACTGACTCGGGTCCATCCAAGCCCAAACCACTCGGGCTTCGCAAAGTCCTTCAGAATCCTGCTGGATACTGCACCCATGCCCGGGTCAGCGAGCGCCCCTGTCTCTGCCTCTCCTGCCATGCCCGGCGCTCTGACTGACCCCCGTTCGCGTTGACCCCCGCCCCTTGAACCACGAGGAGAACAGGCACTGGCCCGGCCGGCCTCTCGGCTCTCCCGGAAGTCGCGGTACCGCCGCCTTGGCCGACCGCCGCGCCCCCCCACCTCCACCCCCGCTCCGAAGCAATCGCGCCCGCGACGGGGCGGGCGGGCGGGACCTCCAGGGGGGGGCGGGGGGGGGGGGGGCCCAGAGTAAGACGAAGGGCGCGAGCGGACCGATGTAAAGCGGGAGTCTCTGAGAATCGGCGGCCATGAAGCCAGGGCGAAGATCAATTCGGGAGAATAGAAGTCGAGGATCTCGGATATACGGAGGCTGTAGAGGATGTCTCGGGCGCCGACAGGCCACCTCGAGTCAGGGAACAATCACGACGGAGCATTTTTCGCTATGTTCGGTCTCTGGGGGCGCTCCCCGGGCCGAGGGCCATCAAGAAAACTACTCTGGATGGAAAGTCCTGGCCCCAGAGAGATCGTCGAGACCCCTGGGGGTCGATGTTTTTGGGGAAGCAATGACGTCGGGGAAGGCACGCTACGCATAGAATGAGGCCAATGAGACTGAACGTGGAAGCGGATCCGTGAGCGGATCAACCTGGCAATACGCCTCTTGTGGTTCTGAGCCTGCAATTATGCCTACTCGTGCCCATCCCGTCCTGTCTTCAGGGACTTCGCATCCCCCTTTCTGATGGTGGGATGGGAAGACGGGCCGCCACCCCCGGGGGGGGCTTGGTCCGATCCCCGCAGCCCATATGATGGAATCTGCGACGGGTGTGAAGCCTCATTGCAGTCCACACTGGAAAAGCCTATGGTGGTCCTCGCCGACGCGAGGATACCCGAGACAGGCACTTGGAGTAAGTGAATCCCCCGCCCCTGGCCCAAGCACGAGAAAACCCTCGATCAAAAGGAGCAGCGGTTCCACAGGCGGGGAGTCACGCCGCAGCCGTCGCCACCTCGCGGCGTCACGCCCCCGTCGAACACCTCGCTCCTGCTCCCCTGGGGCAGTCCTTCAAGAGGTCTCCCCATACGACCCAAAGTCGCCATCCCCGTAAAAAAAGAAACGAAACCCCCCTATCCGAAAAACAAGCAACGGCCACGGGTCGCGCTGGTAACCTTAATGTTGCTGCACATCCTCGTACTGGTAGTCCCAGTCGTCCTGGCAACACGCGTGCTTTGCCGCGGTGCTGCAGATACCGTCGTGCTGGTAATACTCGTGCGGCTGCTCCCATGCACGGCTAATTCCCGCCGCGCTGATCATGCTCGTGCTGATCCCGGACGGGCGACGTAAGAGGGAACAGAAGGAAGAGGGAAACGGAGGAGGAAAGGAAGGAGCACGAAGAAGTCCCTAACATCGAACGGGGCGCCCCTGCTGTGCTGCACTGGTCCTGGTACCGGCCGTGCCTTTCTCTGTTGTGCTACGGGTCCCAATCGCGGATATCAACGTAGGGTTAAGTCGGGCCTGTCGCTCTACAGGAGGGGGGCCGGCCCGATCTAAACGTAGGGCTGCAGTTTTGAAGCGTGCTGCTGGTCACACTCGCAGCTGCCGGCGTGGAGCAGCTGCTCTCTGTCGCGCTGCTCCCGGCGCCCGTCGCGCTGCCCTCATGCTGCGTTGCCGGTCCCGATCGCGCTCGTCAGCGCAGGGCTGCCGCTCTCCGTGGTGCAGCTGGTCCCTCCTTGCAGGCGCCAGCCGTGCAGCTGCTGCTCTCTGTCGTGTTGCCCTTCGTACTGGTCGTGGTTATCCCTCCTGAGCTGCAGGTCCCAGTCGCGGATGCCACCGTAGGGCTGCTGATGCCAACTGTGCTGCTGGTCCCCCTCGCAATTGCCAGCGTGGAGCGGATGCTTTGCGACGCCATGATCCTGGTACCAGTCGTGCTGCTCTCTGTTGTGCTACTGGCCCCGCTCGCGGATGGCCGCGCAGAGCTGCTGCTTCCATCCTGTTGATCCAGGTTGTGCTGCCTGCCTCGCGGCTCCGAAGAGTTGCGAGGGAGAAGAAAGAGGAGGGGAAGGGGGAACGGAGGATAGCAGGAAGGATAACGAAGGAGTCGGCGAGCTGGTCTTTGTGGGAATCCCTGACATCCAACGGGCAGTCCCTGATGCGTTGCACGTGCCAGTGTCAACGTGCAGCTGCGGCTCTCTGTCGCGCTGCGCGTGGCGCTGGTCGAGCTCATCACTGTCGTGGTATGGGTCCCACTCGTGGATGTCAATGCAGGGCTTCCGCTTGCAGCTGTCATGCGGGTCCCCCTCGCAATTGCCAACCCAGAGCCGCTGCGTTATGCCGTGCCGCTCCTGCAAACGGTCGCTCTGCCCTCCATTGTCCCAGCGACTGCAAGTGGGCGCTAGGCCTGGCCGCGTGCGACTGGACCCCGATCACGCGGCACCTGAGGGGCTCGACGATCACAGTGGTCAGCCACCACCTGGGCAGCGGGCAGCCGATGAAGGAGGGCACCAACAACAGGAAGCTCACGGGGCTGCCAGCTCTCCTGCGCACTATCAAAAGGGCCTGGCTCGTCAGCGGAGACTTCAACGTGGAGCCACAGTGTTCGAGGACTCAGGCTGGCCGCAGATGATGGGCGCGTCGTCCCTCATCACGCTGCCCGGCGGCCACCGCGCCTCCTTCCCGGGCCAGACAGAGCCAGTCGAACATCGATTTCGCGATGGCCATCTCGCAGGGCGAGGATCTCGCGAAGGGCATCGGGGCGGTATACGACGTCCGCTGGAAGCCGCGCATCGGCTCGAAGGCGGCGCGCTGCGAGGCGGGGGGCAGGCCACGGCGCGCAGGAGGTTGGCGACGCCGCGAGGCTTCCCCCGCCCGCCGATGCCGCCGGAGCCACCAGACCCGAGAAGCGAGAGAACGAGGCAGAGGCTGCAACGCCAGGCGGCGGCACAGGCAGGCGCGGGCGCCAGAGGAGGAGGCGAAAGCAGCAAGGAGGAGACAGGAGGAGGCCAGGCTGAGGAGGAGGCGAGGCTGAACAGCGCGAGGTGGGAGGCGCTTGCCCCACACGGGCGGCAGGGCTTCCCAGGAGGACGGGGAGCACCGGCAGCAGCCCGCGACGAGCGGCGCGCTGCTGGCGAGGGTCAAAACTGCTGGCAGCACGGGCCAGCGGGGGGGGGGCCACGGAGCAGGCTCGCGTCCCCGAGAGGAGGCGGCGGGGGGAACGGGGGGCCAGGACGGCCACTGACAGCGCCTGCCGTCGTGAAGTTTAGACAGGACGTCAGCCCCACCGCCACCGCTGCCCCGGTGAGGTTCTACGTCAAGGCCTCGACGCAGAGGAGGAGGACCCATTCACGCAGCTGGAGGGCTTCCTCGACGAGGAGGAATACCTGGAGCAGTTGCGGGAGGAGGCCGAGCCGAGCGGAGGCGAGGCGACCGAAGAGGGCGCTGGCACAGAGGAGCTGCAGACAGAGGAGTGGACAGGCGGCCACCCCACCAGCGAGGAGGGAGAACAATGAAGCGAGGCAGAGGGGCCCAGGACAGAGGAGAAGGTGGCGCTACCACCACGCGGCTGGGGGACATGTGGGAGGCAGCCAAGATGGCGACCAGAAGCGAGGCGCCTAGCTACATCAGCGCGTGCGCGGCCTTTCAGGCCGACTCGGACGCAGCGGAGCAGCTTGGAAGACAGTGCGTGCGGACCACATCGACCCTCGAGACAGGCACCACTTCACAGGACGAGGAAGAGGCTACCAGCTCAAAGAGGACACCAGCAGGTGGCGAGAAGAGGAGTGCAATGCGACAACCTGCAAGCCGACTGGTGGGCTCGGGCCGAGACGGTGCTCTCCCTGATGGCCAAGCTGAAAGAGAGAGGCGTGGGTCAGGAGCAGCAAGAAACGCTGGCACGCGCAGCGAGGCACCTGGCATGCAGAGGGGCGCCGAAGCTGCAGGGAGAGGCTACGGAGACAGCGAGGCTACACCGCAGGTTGTGGAGACAGCGGCTACAGTCGCTGGAAGAGCTGGAGGCGGAGCACGGCAAGGCGGCGCAGGCAGAGGAGGAGAAGGCTATGGCGGCGCGCAGCGACATGAGAGCCAACGCGAGGAGCTTCTGCAAGTGGCTAGCGGACGTGGAGCAACAAGCTGGAGCGCTACAGCGGATCACGAAGCCGCCGAACAGAACAGAGGAGGATATCCACACGGAGGAGGGCACCACCAACTGCCCGAAGGAGATAGTGGACGCAAAGTCGAGGGACTGTGCGAATCTATGGAGGTGTGAGAAAGTGGCCCACGGCACGAACAGGCAGGTGCTGGAGGCGCCGAGGAGGAGAGCAGAGCAGACCGAGCAGCCAAACTGGAAGCTGGAGGACCTCGGCAGGGCGCTCCAGGGCGAATCAGACAGAGGGCAAGGGGGTCGATCGCCTGCAGCGCGGTGATTTGAGGCGGCTCGCGGCAGCTGGGCGACAGCTGATCGTCACCTCTTCAACGAGAGCGGCAAGAGGCAGGCCTGGCCCTGGCAACTGCTGTGCGCGGTGGCGATGCTGGCCCCGAAGCCGATCAAAGGAGACAGGGCGCTGGCGCTGCTGCCGCAACTGGCGCGCACCTGGGAGCTGCTGCACGGGCCTGCCGTCAGGCAATGGGCCGAGAGGCAGGAGCGCCCACGGGATGCAGCGGTCGCAGGTAACAGCTGCCTGCGCGAAGCGATGCAGAGGATCGTCATAGATGAGCGCTGCGACACGCTGGGCGTCTTCCAAGGGTGGGCGCTCTCGGACATCGAGAAGTTCTACGACAGCTTGAGGATCGACGCGCTCATCCCTGCGGCGCTCGAGATGAGCCCCAGCCCCAGGACCCTGCTGCTGCTGCTGCAGCGCTCGGGCGCGAGATTCGCGAGGTGGGAGGGCAGCTCCTCGGAGCCGCAGTGCGCCGACCACTCCATCCTGGCGGGCTCGCGGCACTCCAACAACATCGCCAAGGCGGTGGTCTATGCGGCGCTGAGCTTCGCGATGGCGAAGGCCAGCGGCATGCCGAGGTCAGTGGCCAGAGCATGGTTTGACTACATCAGCATTCGCATCATGGGCAGCGAGACAGAGGTGAAGAGGCAGCTCGTCGTGACAACGAAGGCCCCGAAAGACGGGGGGCTGGAGTCGCGCGGGCTGAGGCGG